TTCACTGGATTGCCCAGGCTAGAAGGCAGTGGCATGGTCTCAGCTCACTGCCACCTCTGCCTCCCAGGTTCAAGCCATTCTTCTGCCTCAGCCTCCCGAGTAGTTGAGATTACAGGCCCATGCCACCATGCCCAGCTAATTGTATTTTTAGTAGAGATGGGATTTCACGATGTTGGCCAGGCACCCTGTCTCTACTAAAAATACAAAAATTAGCTGGGTGTGGTGGTACGTGCCTATAATCCCAGCTACTTGGGAGGCTGAGGCATGAGAATCACTTGAACCCAGGAGGCGGAGGTTGCAGTGAGCTGAGACTGCAGAGCAAAACTCCGTCTAAAAAAAAAAAAGAAAAAAAAAAAGAGGGGGTGGGGGGCGGGGAAAGAGAGAGCGAGAGAGCGAGCGCTGTATATGGAGGGACAACCCTAAATCTGCTGATCAAGGAGGGCTGCTGAGACTTGAATAAGGACAGGAAGGGAATGATGTTAAATTGTGAACAATGTTCCAGGCTGCAAAAATAGCAGGTACAAAGGCCCTGAGGCTGGAACTTGCTTCGTGTGAGGAAGTGCATGGGAGGAGGTGAGGGCAGGAGGGGATATGGCAGATAGCGCAAGTTTTTATGGACGGTGGGTGGATTTGGGCTTTTCCTCTAAAGGAGGTGGGAGCCAAGGAAGATTCAGGGCAGAGGAGGGAGGGAGGGATGTGAACTGACTCGGATGTTCACAGGCGCCCTCTGGCTGCTGTTGGGGAGACTAGACCTGGGGTTGAGGATGGAAATGCAGAGAGCAGGGAGGCAGCTGCTGTCATCCAGATGGTGTCTTGAGCTGGGAATTCAGGGAGGGTCTCCGGGCAGCGGGGAGTAGCGGGGACGTGGAGGAATTCAGGATCTAAACAGAAGAGCAGACAGGTCTGGCTGATGGATTAGATCTGCTTAGACGGGTTGGATCTGCTGGGGTTTTGTCTGAGGATGTGGAAGTTGGGGTTTCCAATATCCAACAGATGAGACCCATCTCACCTCCTTGCACCCTGCTCCCTTTGCTTTTTTTTTTTTTTTTTTTTTTGAGACAGTTTTGCTCTTGTTGCCCAGGCTGGAGTGCAGTGGTGCTATCTCCGCACACTGCAACCTCCACCTCCCAGGTTCAAGTGATTCTCCTGCCTCAGCCTCCCAAGTAGCTGAGATTACAGGCCTGTATCCCCACACCCGGCTAATTTTGTATTTTCAGTAGAGACGGGGTTTCACTGTGTTGGTCATGCTGGTCTCGAGTTCCTGACCTCAGGTGATCCATCCGCCTTGGCCTCCCAAACTGCTGGGATTACAGACATGAGCCACAGCACTCGGCCTTCCCACAGCACTTGGCCTTCCTTTGCTTTTGCTTTAACCTCTCCCAGGTTGCTTTAGTACATCAGGCAGGGTCCAGTCTCAGAGCTGTTGTGCTTAGACCTCCTCCTCCACCAGGCTTTCCCTTTAGGCAACCCCTCCTCTCATGCTGCCCCTGCACAGACCTCCATGTTCTTTACCTAGTTTGCTGTTGTTACTGTTTTGTTTTAAGAGACAGAGTTTGCTCTGTTGTCCCCAGGCTGGAGTGCAATGCTACGATCATAGCTCACTGCAGCTTCAAACTCCTGGCCTCAATTGATCCTCCCTCCTCTGCCTCCCAAGGAGCTGGGATTACAGGTGTGAGCCGCTGAGCCCAGATGTACAAAATATTTTAAAAATTAGCAGGGCATGGTGGGTCACACCTGTAATCTCAGCATTTTGGGAGGCAGAGGTGGATCACTTGAGGCTAAGGGAGACCAGCCTGGGCAACATAGCGAGACCCTGACTCTACAGAAAATTTAAACATTAGCCAGATGTGGTTCTGTGCACTTGGAGTTTTTTTTTTTTGTTTTTTTTTTTTGTTTTTTTTTTGTAGAGACAGGATCTGGATACATTGCCCTGTCTGAAGTGTGGTCTTGAATTCATGGCCTCAAGCAGTCTTCCTGCCTTAACGCAGGCCTCAGCTGCCTCACCAGTCCTACCATTATTTTTAGCACTTAACATTGTCTAATATACTCTATTTATTCATCCCATACAGTATGTTTGTTTTGTTTTGTTTTGCCACTGGGGGAGGGATTTTTGTCTGTTTTGTTCCTAAATGTATTCCCAGTGCCTAGAAAGGGGGCTGGCACACATTTGTGCATAGTACCTAGCGCTTTTTTTTTTTTTTTTTTTAAAAGACAGAGTCGCTCTGTCGCCCAAGCTGGAGTGCAGTGGCGCGATCACAGCTCACTGCAGCCTGGAACTCCTAGGCGCAGGCGATCTTGGGATGACAAGCCCTTGCCACCATGCCTAGCTAATTTTTGTATTTTTTGTATAGACAGGGTCTCTCTGTGTTGTCTAGGCTGGTCTCCAACTCCTAGGCTCAAGCAATTAGCCCACCTCGGCCTCCCAAAGTGCTGGAATTAGCGGCCTGAACTGCCACATGAGGCTTGTTTTTATTTATTTATTTATTTTTGAGATGGGGTATCACTTTGTTGCCCACGCTGCAGTGCATGGGAGCGCTCATGGCTCACTGCAGCCTTGAACTCCTGGGCTCAAGTGATCGTCCTTCCTCAGTCTCCCGAATAGCCAGAGGTGTGCACCACCACGTCCGGCTAATTTTTAATTTTTTGTAGAGATGGGGGGGGGGTCTCCTCATGTTGCCCAGGCTGGTCTCGAACTCCTGGTCTCAAGCGATCCTCTCGCCTCGACCTCCCAAAGTGCTGAGTTTGCAGGCGTGAGCCAC